CCTCCAACAACTTTGTTCAGAGGTATTTGTAATTGATCAAAATGTGATGGAACCAGGATGTATTTTTTTTTTATAGTTGGGAGATTTTCAATAAAGGCGGAAACAGAAACAGAGAAGTAAAGATTACGTTTTGAAATGTTCCTACGCATTGTACTCGTACGAGACACGGAAAGATAATTAGGTTTCTTCTTAATATTTCTGAGGTACACAATCAATGGTTCTTTGCGCGTCATTCACTTGTAAAACCCTAAATTTAGTAAAATGATTATATACATGGCTACTCTGTTATGAATTAGAGACCTTTAACTATATTCTTATGGCCCAGTGAGTATTCACAAATCTAAAGTTAGATCTTATTTAAGAAAAGCAAAGATTACTTCAAGTATTTTCTTTTGCCTTCTTTCACAAGTTATTTTATTAGGGTATTTGACCTATTTTGATGCAAAAGGTAAACAAAGATCTTGCTTGATAAACGAAACTGCTTCTCTCTTTATTGATTTTTTTCTGTTATCAAAGAAGCTCATGCTCAAACGCAAGATCGAAAATTGTTGAAGGTATAAAAACGAATCAATGAAAAGAAAAAAAATAGAACAATGAAGAAACCAATTAGCTATGAAAAACAGAGAAAGCCAAAACTTTTAGTTCTCCGAGTTCAATGAGAAAGAAGCAGAGGGCTTTTACTCGAGAGCTTTTATAACCGCGTCAACAACTTCTTGCGTGGTGCAATCTCCTCCAAGATCTTTCGTTCGAAATTTTCCTTCTTGTATCACTTGTTTCACCGCGGTTTCAAGCCGATCAGCAAAAGTAGGAAAACGGAGATGTCTAAGCATCATAGCCGATGAGAGAAGTAAAGCCACCGGATTCGCTTTCTTCTGTTCCACTATCTTATCGTTTCCCACATTCCCCGCTGATGCTCCTTGCTCGAAGATGGCATGTTCCGCACCAACATTCCCTATATAAACAACAAAGCCAAGAATTGTCGATTTCCAGACCAAAATCAAGAAAGATCTTAACTTCCATTACAATATGAACAAAACAAACCTCCTGGCATCACTCCAGTTCCACCCGCTATTCCAGCCGCGGTGTTTGCAACAAGGTTACCATACAAATTAGGCGTCACCTAAAACAAACAAAACCCGACAAAGTATCCATAAGATACAATCGAAAGAGCAGCATCAATGGTGAGTCCTTTTTGTCACATTTAGACGAAAGATTCAAGTTTTGATTTGTAACTAGGAAAAAGGACATAAAAAGTAGAGAGCATTATTCATCACCATGACATCGAATTGCTCGGGCTTAGCAACAAGCTGCATACAACAATTGTCAACGATTATCTCGTTATACGTAATCCCGGGATAGCTTTTCGCAACCTCTCTGCAAGATTCAAGGAAAAGCCCATCCGCAAGCTTCATAATATTGGCTTTATGAACAGCAGTCACTTTCTTCCTATTGTTCAAATACGCATACTCAAATGCATATCTCGCAATTCTCTCAGAACAAAACTTAGTTATCACCTACACATACACAACAACAAGAATCTGTCTGTCCTAAAAACAATCCCCAAATCAC